AGAAAATGCAAAGTTTGATCACAGCTTGGGTCCCAAAGGGTGCACAGGAGATTTGTTCAGACAAAGGCTCTACAGAATGGATACCAGAAATAAGCACAGACCCCGTGTCTGTCATCACATGCCCCTGGCTTCTCCCTTGAAATTCTTCCTTGTTCCTACCAGATCTAATATGAATTTAGTAGAAGACACTTTATGCAGAGTCACAAGGATAAATCCATCAGTGCCCAAAAAAAGCATCATTGCCCAAGGAGAGGTGGATCCATAGGGATCAAAGTGATCTAGGTCTGTATTCTACTTTACAAGGAGCCACAGAGAAAACTTTCTGGTTGTAGAGACATTTTCTTATCTATGCCCTTCCAACTCTAGGAACTCATTAGCTTGGATTCAATCCTAGTCCTGTTCTTGGGCACAGCTGCTTCAATAAGGGAGACACAGTGAAGTAATGTCTTCCCAGTGGTGCCAGGGGAAATAACAGCAGATAATTCAAAGGCTCTGAGAGAACAAGAAGCTGATGAGACACTCAATAAAAAATGTGAAACTGAAAAAAAAAAAAAACCTGCTCCATCATCTTTGTGTGATGGAAACATAATTCAAAATCTCTCCTTGCATCACCACGCTGCCTCCTAATTACCATCTCCTACCTCCTGGTGCCCTTACCAGTTTCTTTCCTGTTGATTTACAGGGTAACTTTTAACAAGAATTCAGTGTGATTCCTTGCAGGAATCATCACATCCCTTCAAATCCTTATTTCCTTTCAATTCCTTGACATGCCTGGGAATGTTGCTTCCTCTCTATATTTTTCAGAGGAAGGACAGGAGGAGTGGGATGGAAACAAGGGCTGCAAGTTAAAGATTGATTTGACAGTGAGTCATGAATCACATAATCACCAACGAGGCCTCTTCACTTGTTCTGTTCAAATTCTTGTGCTGGGTTCACTTTTGGCACACGTTGGCTTGTTCCAGCTCAGTGCATTTTAGGCACTTTCAACACTAAATTGTAGACACACATCTGCAAATCACTCAAGGAACTCTCTCACTATTTGAGAGGGAGCCACGTTCAAGGGGCAGTCTGGAATATCTGGTTCCAAGAGTGGAAAGCACGACAGGGAACAGATGGGAAAAGTATTTCATGCCAATCTATGGTTCTCCATTTCATCAGCAGGCTTCTTTCCATCATAATGCAGATTTTTGGGGTAATCCAGATCTCCAGCATGACCTAGTCAATATAATAAAGACAGAAGCTAAAGGCGGGATTTTTCTAATCAAATGTAGAAACCTAAATTTGATTATTTAGATCTGACATGGTCATCCTTTATTCCATGTGTCCAGAGAGAAAAAACAGGCATCATCTAACATATGTTGAGGATGAAATAAATTATGTCTCAGGCTCTGCTTGGTAGACATCCAGAGCTACAAACTGAGGAAGGCAACTTGTTCATTTGTAGTGCAGATGCAATTGCAGGTATCAACATTTAATTAGATAAATCCCCTGCTAAATGCACCTAACCCAGGAAACTCTCATTAATATCTGAGTAACTGCTATGTCAGTCTTTCCTAGCCCCAGGGCTGGGAACAGGTCAGAAGAGTCTGGATGTGAGAAATAGAAATAAAAAAGGGTGCATGTGGATCAGCAGTGAGATTTATCAATTCTGATCTGGCAGAAAATACCTGGAGGGTTGGTGAGAGCTAGAAGAGGGTTCAGCACAAGCTGGGGCAGCTCCACAGTAGGAAAGGGATAAAAACTCAAACAAAGGAAATTGGAAACACTGATGTAAGAAATAGCCTGGCACCACTGCTTGGGGAAGTTGAGTATGGAGTAATCACTGCTCTCCTTCCTCTCTTGTCTGCCTTTGGCTTTCATTACTCCCTTTATCAGTTTAATTCCTCCTCCAGAGCAAAGCAGTCATATTCTGGGTCCTGCTGAGATTTCATTTCCTTCAAATTCTCTTTTCTATTCAGGCTGTTAGTGATGACTGAACGGGAATGGACACATAGGGTCAGCACATGCCCCCGATTTCTTCTCATATAGTTTCCTAAAGAATTTAAAACATTTAAGAGGAAACATCCATCATAAAACTAATGGAAAAAAAATAAACCAAACAGAAAATCTCAAGGCAATCATTGCCTCTGAAGCATTAAAGGCAGGGCCCAGCAGCAAAAGGAGAGAAAACTGCTGTGAAGAATAAAGAAATAACGAGCAGAACATCTGGGCATGAGAGGTAGAGTGGGAGAGAAAGGAGGAAACGTCAGAAACCCCATTTGGTCAACGTTTGTGTTCACTGAACACAGCAAGGGGGTAAAGCAGAGCTGAATTCTTGCAAAATGTAGGAACCAGATTGTTCTTCCTCTCTTGCCACCCAAGGATGGGGCAGAGAATTGCCAGTGCAGAAAACAAGGTCTCTGAACAGGTGCCTTGGAGAAGCACCCTAATATTTTATAATATCATTCTAGATGGTAGAAACACATGCAGAAATACAGAATACAGAGACTGTTCATGTCCCAAACCCAAGTTCTGTACTTGACCCTCTTTGTGTTACCTGCCACAAGAGGCAGATTTTTCTTTTAAGTCACAGTAAATTGACCATGTCCACAAGCCCCTAAAGACTTCCTAAAAGCTCATGATCCCATTTCAGACCTTGCAGCACCACTGAGGAAAAACAAATTCTCAAAAAATTTATATATTGAATTTTTCTATGGGGATTTTCAGGCAGGAATAGACAAAGAGGTAATTGTGTGCTTCTCCTCTGAATAAACAGTATTTTATTCACCAGTCAGGAGGGATTTCTTCCTTCTTTCAGCTGTTTCTGACAAGCAAGGGAGTTATTCCCTATCTTTCTCTTTCTTTGAAAGGAACAAGCTGATAACATTTCTCCACTGTTATCATTAGTAAGTCTTAGGGCTGAATATAAAAATAATTATATGGGGAAATTTTCCTTTTTCCCAAATAAAAAATAATTTGTGTGCAGAAGGAGAAATTTAAGAGGAATCAACACCCTGAATTTATGACTGCTTAATTTCTGGAGAGTTACTGCATCTTCAAGCAGTTTTGTTGTGAAACATCTCCCACAAATTCAAGCAGTAAGGAGGTGATAGAATTTCATTGATATCCTTTAACTAAGGAGATCAAGCTTTGCTGAGAATGAGGTAGGCAGGATCTGGCTTGAAATAAATATCATTAAATAATAAAAGGTGAGTCTCGTGGTCAGGACTTAGAGTGAAATGCTGTAATCCCAGAGGTGAAATGAAATAAATTTAAAATATATCTACAAAAAAAATTAAAAAATAATTTAAAATTCAGAGAAAAAAGCCAGCAAGCAGGATCCATGTAATTAAAAGGCTTTCAAACATGAAATACACCAGAAGCCTTCCCTGGAAGATTAATCTCTTGGAGGGGATATTTTTTTTTTTTTTTTTGTCTAAACCACATCATCTGTGGAACTCATTGCCACAGGATGTGGGGAACACCTAAAAGATGCTCAATGAGCCTGGGAAAAATCTTCCCAGTGATTCAGCAAATACTGGGGGAGCAGAACAGGGAGCAGCTGGGTTCTGCTGAGAGTGAGAGCCTGAAAGGATCCAGTCCCTTCCTGCCTGAGTGATAAAATTTCATCCCATTGAGATGCAAAAGCGTTTTCCAATGGCTCTGGTCTTCCTCCATCTCTGTCCTTTCCATTTGGAACAGGCAGGGGGAGGATTTCAGTGGGAATAGTCCCCAGCTGTCAGGGTTATTCTGCATTTGGGTGATGAAGAAATAAAAGCTGCCTGGTGAAATGGTCTCCTCTCACCTGGGGAGTTCTATGAATTCCTGAATCCAAACAATAGCCATTGCATAAAGCAGAAGAAATAGGTCTCATGATCACCATTCTGGGGGTAGGAGGCAAGAAATTGGCTTTTTCCCCCTTTTTCCTTTCTCATGACACTTCTGGACCAGGGAAAAATTGGGAAGCTCTTGTGTAGAGCACGAAGAGGACGTTGAAAGAAGAGGAGGTCAAAACCACATCCCTGGGGGTGGAATGAGCTGCCCAAGGTCCACTGAGCTTTCCTCACTTCCAGCACACCCCACAGTTCCTCTGCCCAGAGCTGGGCAGCAGAACAGAAATGAATTTAAGCATGAGATAAATAGCAGGACCCTCCTCTCTGATGGAAATACTCCTAGCAGCTAAAATGCAGAACCAGGTTGCTTTAGAGGACCCTGCCAACACAGACACCTGCATTTTGACCTCCTTTGCTTCTGCACTAAAACCTGCTGCAAGAAAAAGGGGAGACAAAGCTCCCCTCTTTTATCACACACAATGTGTTTTATCAGCTTTCCTCTGCGGTTTCATCAATTCCAGTCACAGCAGAAGCAGTTTGGACAGGACTCAGTAAATGGACCCTGATTTCCAATTAGTTTCTTGGTCATTCTTTGCCCTTCTCTCCTTGGTGCTGGCCACAGGCGGCTCCTGCTGCGCTCAGGAGGAAATAAGGCAGGATATTAAACAATAAATTTCTTTGCTGGCTGCCTCAGTTTCTTATCTCAGCAAAAGCACGAGTATCCTTCGTCAAGATTACAAACACCACAACGTTAATCCCTGCATCCCTCACATCATGTGAGAGATACCCAAATTATTGCTGAGATGAGGAAGGAAAACGAGCTGCTCCTGAGCAGCACTTTGTGTCACATCCTGTCCCCAGAGCTGTTGTCATCCAGGCAAAAAAAATCATCCAGCCATCCTTTTTTTTAATTTATTTTTAAAAAAAATATTATTTGTTTTGCAGACGTATTGTACCCTTGAGTAGAGAAACAAATTCCTGACCTCTGATAATAACCAGGAATGGTTCTCACGCACCCGCATTGATTGAATTTTTGTTTTTAATTTCCCCAAGCTCATTCAGCAGCAGTGATGCTCCTCTTACCATGAAGTGTTTGCTGTGACAGGGCTGCAAACCCCTCCAGGCATCAGAGGAAATGGTGAAAACCACTTTAAATTGTCAGCTCGAGGTGCAGGGTCTGAAACTCACCCGGAGAAGAGTCATTGAGAGGGTTCAGGGCCGTCGCCCTCCGGATCTTCTCCAGACAAGTCTCTTGCTCCTTTTTAATGATGCAGTTGGAATGGGTTGCTGCAACCTGAAATACGGGGGGAAATAGGGAAAAAAAAAAACAGTTACAAAAATAAAATAGTTTGTGAGGTGATCAGTAAGTTTTAACAACCCACTGCAAGGAAAAAAAAAAAAGAATAAGAAACAAAAATATCATTTAAAGTTGATAAAAACCTGTGACAAGCTTCATTTTCTTTCCCTTGTTTCTTTTTTTACTCCTTTTTATTCTTCTAGCAGGTCTAAGGCCTAATTAAGTAATTAAAGTTCTCATCAATTATTTGGGGGTTTTATAGTGTTCTCCAGGTCAAAACATTACTTCTAACATGTTTGTTTTATTTTATTGAATTCTTTCTTCACATAAAGCTGAATAAGGGTGTGTCTAAATAGAGAAATAATTTAAAGAATAATTAGGAATAAATTTAAGCTTGGTTTGTTCTTCCACCAGTTTCTTATGAGTCTTTGCACAATTCATTAAAATCCCTCTAGAATTTAAACCAAATTAAAAGCTGTTTCTCTTATTCTGTC